GTTCCAGCTACAAAACTGACAAAGATCTGAAGTCTTCTTCCCAATTTAAGACCTTTTACTCATAGATAAACAACTTATGCAAACCCTTCTACAAATTATTTTACTACATGAAACAGTGTTCTTTCTGAAATTTAAGAAATAACCAGCTTGTTAGTACATTTAGTACTGTTAGTATTAATTAAATGTTAAAACATTTAGTAACCTTGCACAATATTAACAATAAAGTATGATTTTATTGAGTTTTTTCTAAAACTACATATTGCTTCCAACTTAAACCAAAGTATTTCTTGTTTTTACCATGAACAGTTGTATAAGTCCTTCAAACAGATGGCAACTTTCAACAGTAACGTGGTTCCACTTATCTTTCCTTGTCTAGGATTCCCACAAGCCAGTTTATCTCCCAGAACTTCCTTTACATTATAACAAAGAAATTTTCCTTAAAGCTAATGGTATAGAATAGCTCCCTGTTATTTTTCATGTTATTTCTATAATTTTCTGCCTAGCACACTGTGCTATTATACACTATAAATCATGTTTCATTTCAGAAAGAAATTTTGGTGGTGTTATTTATAGGTCCAACTCTACTTCTGCTGATATCCAACCTAGCTAAGAAAATACCTGTAGGAACATTTAAAATCTCACATAGATTTTTCAGATAACATCCATATTATGAGTGCTATGGAAACATCAGTACTATATGAGTAAATGAATGCACCACTGAATAAAAAGAATGTGCCTGGAACATGGATCTATAAAGGTGCATTTTTACATTCTACAGAAATAAGACGTTTGGTTTACTTTTAAAAGCATTATTTCTATGGCCCTTTTCAGGCCAAGTAAATTGCCACAAATTTCATTTAGATGACATTTCAACCTAGATGCAGGCAGATCTATTGGAAAGTACAGTATCCGATACCAACATGATTTCAAAGGTTTGATACACCATACTGAAACCTTTTTTTTTTGAATAAGAACACTTTGACAGAACTGTTATTCTCTTATTACATAACCTAATGCTGAACACAGAAATGGGGAATTTAACCTTAAAAAGATTGTCTATTTTCTTTGCTTCATGCTTTAAAATAGGCATAGCCTACCAGTTCAAAATGGACCAGTAGGTATCAGTGGAACTGATCAACTTTTTTTACTGGGGTACCCAGTCATCTAGAAGGTAACTAAGGGATATTTGGTCAATGAACCAGCAGTGTGACATCTGGTGCACAGTTTCACAGTCTTAGGCCCTCATTCTGATCTCCCTGATACTTCCATAAATCAGGAGTAACTTACTTAAATTAAAAGCACACACCAAAGTGGTGTGGAGTCAGAATAAAGCACTGCACATTCCAATCTCTTTCACTCAGTACCTCATGCCTGATTTAAGTGATTGGCTCAGTTACGGAGCTCTATATTAGACATATTGCCTTTTTGTTTTAAAGCACGTATGTTTAATATTTAATTTAATGGAATTCCATATTCTGGTCTTTGTGTACTGTGGAGGTCCCTTTGAGGCTCGTGGTTTGTATGTGCAGTTGCATTTCTCTTCAAGTGCAATTTGGAAGCACCAGTGCCTAATGGGGTGAAAGGAAGTATCTGTCTCCAATTAATCTTGGCTCTCTTTTAAATGAGAGATTAAAATATTGCCAAGCCAATGGTGATTTGTAAAGTGGGCTGTAGGAGTTGAGCCAGCCTCACCAAAACTCATTTAATTTATTATGTGTGATAATGGAAATCGTAGTAGAGGTGCAGGTCTCATCGACTGTCCACACTGTTCAAATGTGCACAGCTAATTTAGATTACCTGCTTCAAATAACAACACACTCAAAAATTTTGCTAACTCTGAAATATGGATTGTAATGCTACACATGACTATAACTGCACATGAGACTATGTAAGTATTACAAAATGGGTATTTTAACTGTAAATTGAGCCTGTGCTTACATATTCACAGAAATATTAAAATTATCCCATTATATGATTTCCATAATATTATGCTGTTTTACGTTGCACAATACATGCAGAGATGAGAGACACATTGATAATATGCAAGAAAACTAATTTCACCATTTAAAAAAATGCTTAAAGCTTTTGAACTTATGATCTGTTGGAACAAACAGTAGAAAGTCTGAAGTTACCCAAGGCAAACAATGGCAGAATGAAAATGGGAGTTTAAATGATACCTGGGTGACCATCATAGCTAGCTTGCAGGAGAGACTATTTTCAAGGCCATTTGGCACATCTAGAATGCGGGATAGCTCTCTGAAGTAAAGAGTACAAACATTAAAAGGTCAGAAATAGAACAGCTAAGTTATCCATTGACACTGGCAATGGGAATCTTTGCCATTTGGCTCTGAACCACTTTGCCATTCTGCATCCTAATGACAATTACATGTCCCATACTGATATTTCACTTTCAATTTTCACAGAATTAGTGAAAGTATTTAAGGAGTTAATGGAGGCATAGTACTTTCTTTAGAGAAAATATGAAATTAGATTAGAAATTAGATTGCCTTGAAAACATTACATGCAGTAAAACGTGCACTCAGAAAGCCTTCAGGAGTAATCATCTAGGCATGGTTTCTTGTGACTTGCATTTTACTGTTCCATGACGAAGAAAAATAAAATTTAAAACCCACAAAGATCTGTGCTGAGATTCTGTTCATTCCAAAAAGCACATCTCAAACCTTCATTATCCAGAAGTAAAATTGTTTCAAACCATACTCCATCTTCACAAACTTCTGTAAAATTCCCCTGGAGTGAACCGAGGGTATTGGCGGCTCCATGTCAGCCAGACGGATATGCCACAGCCTTCCCCTAGCATACTACCTTGCTTCAGCCCTGTGCCCAGCATAAGGACTTTAGAGTTTATCCTCAGATGGCATTTTTAAGTTACCTTTTGCTGTGTGCTACCAGGGGTATCATCCCTTCGCCTGGAATAGAACTTCTAAGGGCCTCTTTATGCCAATCTGATTCCTCTTACCTTACATAAGGGGCCAGAGCAGGAACAGAGCTCACTTTCTTAGCTCTAAATCTATCCTGTATGGCACGCAATTCTCTAAAGTACAGCCAGCTTCTGCTTTTATGAAGAGCTGTGCAGTGAAGGCTGAAGGATCCTGTTTTTCACCATTTAAAGATGTATGATAGCAACAAAGCTCTATGTTAAAATATTTAACTCGCAGAGATCTTATGGAAATTGTCTATTCAAGCTCAGCAAAGACATAAAATTACCAAGCTGTTCGAGGACAGTTGTGTGTGGAGAAAAGCCAGAAAAGCTCTGAGATTGCAATGTTACTTACAAAGATTACAGCACGAGCCTGATTCCGAAGCTTTTTATACAGATCAGCATGGTGAGCTGCAAAATGTTACCATATCAATTTCTGCAAAACATACTCTATGTGTACATATAGCTATAAAATCAGGACTTACACACAGCACATTTCCTGCCACATTTTGAATGGCATCTGTTTGTTTGGTTTGCTGAAATATGAAAAATAATATTTAGCAACTACCGGTAACACAACGTTAACAAGATTTAAGGGTATAGCTCTGACTGTCAAAATGCAGATAAAAGACAAATCCTTCTATCTCAGTGTTTTAATCAGTCAGATCAGGGTTTTGATGAATATGCAAATGTGACTGTTTATACACTATTTTCAGTGTGAAAGGAAACAAATTCAGTTTCATTATAGAATTAATGACAGCTCTGTCCTCTAAGATTAATAATTAAAACCCTACACACATTAAGATGATAGTGCTCTTTCCTCCATTCTCTGAAGATTTTACTTTTCTATTTTTTTAATACCCTTTTCCCTTATAATTGTTTGTCCCCCTAATTGGAATGATTAATAATTAATGCCAGCTCACAGATATCTAATAGTCATCTCTAAAACAAGAGATTTAACTGACAAAAGAGTTAAAAAACACTTTCTTTTGTAAATTCTGGTTCCACTTTTTATAAGCAATTGTTTTCCTCCAAGTTTTATGCCACCATAGGGATCTCAATAGCCTACTATAATGCTGGAAGTCTTCTATTTATTCCAGTGCAAGCTATACATATTATTTTATTCTGATTTTCACAATATACACTGGGATTCTTTTTAAAGCCCCAGCTTCTGGGATCAGCAGCTTTCACAGGAACCATAGCTTTCTTTTTCTCCCCCACACACAGTAAGTTTAGGTCAAATCTCAGAAAAAAGATTAAGACAAGAGGTAAGTGCACAATAAAGTTTGAGAATGTGAAAATAAAAACCGAAACAAACAAAAAAGCAAGCAAATAGAAGAAATCCTCAAACAAACCCACAAGATTTCAGCTATTATTTTTTAATCTGATGATTTCTGAGTTGATCTGGGAGCGGCTGAGTCATGCTTTCCAAATCCTCAGTACAGGCAACATTTCAGAGAAAGGTTATAGCAAAGTGAGCAGAAGTTCAGCCTTTACCATTAACCCTCTTTCCTACACAAGAACTATCACACTTCATTTTCATGAGGCCAATAGGATTTATACTGAGACCAGTAGACTCCCTTCAATTTCATATCATAAAAAAAACCCAAACGGACATTTTTAAGATTAAAAAAGATAGGTAGTTTGCATATGCTTAGCATTATTTTACCAAGAAAAGCTATAATCTAGTTCCAAAGACATGTATTTCCTTCAAAACAGAAAAGCTCTTCCAGAAAGACAAACGGACAGAGTACTCCAAGATCACATTTCTTCAATAAAGCTGTTTCAGTTTCATCTTTTAATGTCTTTCAACATAAATAGATCCTACATGGGAATTTAGCATTACCTTGCATATGGCAAAGGAAATATTTTATGTGAAATTAAATTAGCAGTTTTCTACATTTCACCATTCAGGTACGCTACCTCATGTGTCACTGATAGCAGTAAAACAAATATGTGTGTGTGCGTACATTAGCAGGGATGATGAATTATACTCTGTAAGCATTTACGGGTAGACATTCATAATGAAGCTTGCTAGTTGGCAAGCATGCCTATTACTTACCACGCTGAGTCCTAGCGATTCTCTGCGAAAGTAGTCCATGTTCCTCCTTTGTAGGTTGTCAAGATAGTGCTGAAGGCGAGTATAGGTGTAGGGGTAGCAGTAAGCAAATTGATAAGTGTCATCCTCTCGGTCAAAGCAAAAAGCAAATGACATGACATAGTTCTTCCTGTGGTCTGGGCAGCGATAGTAATACACATTCTTAGAGGGAATTCTTTGCCTAAAAAACAGAAACAACATATATATATATACATTAACATATACATATATTGACATTAGAAATCTGAACAAGAATGTTATGTGAGACTCAAATTTCCTCTATTCAAATGAAGTGGAACAGCTTGAACATCTCAGGACCTGGAGAGCAGATCCCAGAGCCTGCATTTCGCTCATGCAGACAACCTCCATGCCAGGGGCCTGTGCATGACACAGCTAACGTGCCAGTGCACCAGTCTCCACAGGGACTGCAGCTCTTTCCAGGTGCCCAAGCTGGCAGTCACCATAGCAGGAGATAGTAACACACAACTGAAGAAACCCACCCCCATAAAATGAAAGCAATGCACAGGTACCTAAACTATCCTCTGTTTTGCTATCAAGCTGATGCAATCTCATACTACTACACCCGCTTCAGCCAAACCTCTGGCTGGGGCATGGCTACATCCTTTGATACAGATCTAATACACCAGCACAGGGATGAGGCATAATTAATGAAGGAATGTCAGTATAAGGCTACATTGACAGAACTGTTACTGAAATTCAGGACATCTTTATATTTTTATTATCCTTAACAGTCAGGGGATATATCAATGCCTAGCCAGCGAGTAGAAGAAAAGATGAATTCTTGAGGTAGGGAAAAAACCCACACCCAGACAAAAAGGTATGGAAAATAACATAGTCCTAAATTACAAAGCAAAGGAGAAAAGGGTATTTGGTACTGCTCCAAGTTGGATTGCTGCCCTTCGCGAGAGTTCTGGCTTATCTGATGAGATAAAAATGAATATACATGATAGTAAATTATTACAATAAAGACATTTCTGGCAATGTTACGAAGTTGGTATCTGTTTAAGAAATAACAACCTGCCACCTTTCACCGAACTTCAATTGTTCTGTTATTTCTCAACATAAATGAGTAATATTTCAGAGGTAGATCAAAATCTTGTTCTGCAGACTAGAGATGTTCAATATTTCTGTTTGCACCCTTGATTCTATTAATGGATTTTTTTAGCTTTATTTAGACAGGAGATTCTCTACTCATACCATGTACTTGTAATTTGATGAAACTAACTTAACTGTCATGTTTGGCAACAAAACACTATGGTCCTGCAGACTCTAACTGATTCAATTACACAACATTATAAACTGGTCTCTAATGACTGGAGCAGCTCTCAGCTAAACTAGGATCATGGTGAGGGAAAACATAATAAGATTTACAGACATAGCAGTAGTAATGGGCCTCTGTGTAATAGTTCCGAGAAGCTGGTCTACTGCAGAGCATCAGTTTTGGCCTTTCATTGCCAATATCAAATAGAGAACAAAGCCCTCTCATTATGCCAAAGTACGTGTTTGCCAATTAGCAGCAGCTAAGGAGTCTGATCAGCAAGACACATGATCTACGTAGAGAAACAGAAAGGAATTGAGATGTTCTTGAAAAAGTGCAATAAGGAGCCAGCGATGCAGTTAATTAGACTTCAAATAGTAATTTATTTGCCCACATCATTGCCTTGGTTCTTGAACTTTCGGGACTTCAAGAATTTACTTCAGCATCATATCTAGCCAGCAGTGTGCCCACGTGGTCAAGAAGGCCAATAGCATCCTGGCTTGTATCAGACATAGTGTGGCCAGCAGGGCCAGCGCAGTGATCGACCGCCTGTACTCAGCACTGATGAGGCTGCACCTCAAATACTGTGTTCGGTTCTGGGCCCCTTGCTATAAGAAAGACATTGAGGTGCTGGAGTGGGTCCAGCCAAGGGCACCAAAGCTGGTGAAGGGACTGGAGAAAAGTCTGATGAGGAGTGGTTGAGGGAACTGGGGTTTAGCCTGGAGAAAAAAAGGCTCAGGGGAGACCTTCTTGCTATCCGCAACTACCTGAAAGGAGGTTGTAGCGAGGTGGCAGTCAGTCTCTTCTCCCAAGTACCAAACGATAGGAGAAAAGGAAATGGCCTCAAGTTCTGCTGGGGAAGGTTTAGATTGAATATTAGGAAAAACTTTGTCCCCAAAAGAGTTGTCAAGGTGCCCAGGGAGGTACTTAAAAGACATGCAGATGCAGTGCTTGAGGGCATGGTTTAGTGGTGGCCTTGGCCATGCTGTAATTCTATGATTTTTGGCTAAATAAGGAACTTGCTTATGACTAAGACCTGAAAACTCTTTTTTAAGGCACAGATATGAAGGACAGAAAAACAATTGTTTTAATTTTTTTTTTTTTTTTAAAGTATCAGTAAGGGAAAAATGCCACCAGCTGTCTGCATGCAGTGCACTAATCTAATAGGTTTCTCCGGTATCTTAACATATTTCCGTCATTCACCCTTACTCTGGAGTGCTATAGGACATCCCTCATTTGATCTCAAATCAAGCAGATGATATGGCAGTGGGTAAATGTATTCTAGCTCCCAGTCCTCAAACCATAATGCAAGTTTAAACAGTATGTTGCAGAGTTGTTGAACTTTATTTGTTTCCAAATTACCATGGGAGAAATAATAAAGGACTAGCTTCGCTTTATGTTATAAAAATTTCATGTAAAATGAGACCAATAGGAGGAAAATCAGGATTTCAGAAAGGCTAATGCTAATTGAAATTCATCTGCTGATAGTTAATGTTTAAATGACACATAGTTCTCCTTGGTTCAATAACTTTCTACTTTTAAGCAAGTTGAAGACAACTTTGTTAATGCATTAAAGGCACTTTTGATATTTCATTCCCTTTCCCCTTCATTATAGAAGCTAAGCATCTGTTTTATTATCCACTCTGACACATTACTTTATGGCTGCATTTGGCTATTATGGCTAATCTTGATGTCTAGGACATCTGGTATTGACATTTCACTATCTGGTGTCTGACACAACAGCAGAAACCATCCTCAGTTCCTAGGTTTAAATTCACCCTCTCAGGGCAGAAAGTGCCCAAACTCTTAATTCAAACCATATCTTCCAAAATAATTATAATAGTACTCTTGTCACTGCTAATCTATTTTTATCTCTCCTAGCACTTTGTCACTGCTAATCTATTTGTGAGTCATATAGAGAAAGAGAGTTAACGTTTAGATACCAACAACACATCTTTACACACAGGAGCCTAATCAGATTGAGATCTTATCAGAGAATTAAAGGCAAAAAGGAAAAAAGGGGAAAGAAAAAGAAAGAAGAGAGACACAGTGCTAGATATCACCAACTGAGTTTTTGATAACAAAAAAGACATTGCTCAGTTCTTGAATTAACCTTTGTGTCCTAGACACACTATTGTTTACTCTTTCCCTTTTTTGTTCTATGCCTTCTGGAAAAGGACACCCACACACTGTGGCAGCAGCTGCTCCTATTAATTTAAAGCTATTACAAAAATTAAAATTAAACCCAATTACTTTGGCTGGTTTATAGCTGGGGAACGGCTTAGTCTGATTGTTCCCTCTGGTTATGGACAAAAACAATATTCCTACCTACAGGCAGCTGCCAGTGGAATACTAATGCATCTAGGGCCTGGCAGGAATAGATTCAGAATGCGGAGTCTAACTGCATTTCTTACTAGAGAAAAATATCTTATCATGGATCTGCAGAAATGCACCAACTTCTTACACTGTAAGTCACAACGAAGCCGATTTGTAGTTAAAGGTAGGAAAGCAAAATGATGGTAGAAAGCCTAATGCGCAGATTTGCCATTTTGCATTTCGAGGCGGCTCACACTAAGAAATGCACCCTGCTAATTGATACACAACTGCCTGGATTTCAGCGTTTCTGAACGGTTGCTTAAAGGAGAACCATCCCAATTCTAAGAATGGCCACAGAGAATAACATGCACACAACTGATTTCCAGTCTGTTTTTAGAAACATATTTACAGAAATGAAGCTTGATACTCCACATAATTTTGAAACAAATTCAGACTGCCTAATCTTAAAGATAAATGCAATGCAAATTTCTTTCTTTCAAAGGAAGATGGAAGCACAGAAATGAAGATTTTCACTTTATTTTGACTGTCACAGTCCATTGACAGTCAAAGGCTTGAGTCATCTTCTTTGAGCATCTTCTCCCGTCTGACAAGGTAGCGCTCCCAACCCAGCAGATTTGTTACTCCAAGGGTGAATGGACATGTGCTTTTCTATTCCTATATGTTTGCAGTCTGGAGTTAGGACATTCACTCTGTTTTGGTAGCATGCAGTAAGATGAAATTGTTCAGTTACAAATAAAAATAAAATCAGAGTCTTATTTACTCTCAAAAACCTGAGATTTTCAGGGGCACCAGCATTTTACACTTTACTCCAACAGGCAGTGAGGGGTACAGCTAAGCTTTGAAAATTTTATCGTATTTCTATTTTTTTAGACATAATTTTAATTTCAACTCTAATAATTTTGATCTCAAAGGAAAACTTTACTATCTTTTTCCTTTTTTCTTTGCTGCCTAATTTCCCTTTGAAAATTGAGAGTTAATCAAGACTGGAGAAAAACCACTGGGGTATGGCAGGCGTTCTGCTGTTTGCTATCTGTTCTTTAAGTTTTAAACACATAAGGGTGCTAACCAAATCCTTTTGTGGTGCCACAACACAAATAATTAGAAAATAACAATCTTTGGAATTCTCCCTACCCCCTCCTCCCTTCCCCTACCCAGTTGCATGACCAAAGCAGGGAGCTCTTGCCCAGCCAATTCCCAATGACTTTAATGAGCAGCATAAACAGTCTTTGGACTGCCTTTTCATATGGCACTCATGAAGTAATTATTCAGTTCCTTGCCCAGGATTGGGTTAGACATATCAGAGTCACTAGACTTCAAAGTAAAATGATGATCTTTGGAGGAAAAACAAAAAGCTGCAGGTGCTGTAAAAGATCAACGGCCAAAAGAAAAATTAAGTGATCTGACTTGTAGAGGAATGCTCAAGTGAATCCAATTGCAATGTAGTGTTAGCTGTGGTGACACACTGTGGTGATCGTTTTCAATTGCCATCAATTTGCAGATGTAGGGATACAACTTAACGATCTTACAAATTTTCAAGCTTGTGTATAGAATTCAGAGGGCTGGGC